AGTCATAAAATTACGAGAATAGAGTCGTAACATTACGAGAATAGTCATAAAATTACGAGAATAAAGTCATAAAATTATGAGAATAAAGTCATAAAACTACGAGAATAAAGTGACATTACGAAATAAAGTCGCAATGAGAATAGTCATAAAACTACAAGAATAAAGTCGTAAGATTCTCGTAACATCACTAAGGAAATGCTGTGTATTTTAAACTTCACAATTTAGATGTAGGAATGTGAAGATATGTGTAAAAAAATTAGCATAATCATTTTAAGGTATATAGTGATCTTTTAAAAGTTAAAAAAATACAGCTTTTAAGCAATTTGTATGATTTCTTATAAATAAATCATTTTACACAGGAAAATCTAAATTAATTTTAAAGCTTTAGTTTTCTAAATGCTGCTTGTCACAATAAATCAAACACTTTGAACTTTCTGGTTAATTTCAACAAGAGCTGTTGGAGTAGGAGTGCAGGAGTAGCCTTGCACACCTTTCATGTTTGTTAATTACAGTTCAATTAAATTAGGACAGATCAAACCTCGGTAGATGCAAAGTCATGAAGGTGGCTTACCGTGAAAACAAAACATTCGCCAGTTCCAAAATACGTAAGTGCCTGAGAGTCATGATTCCGCCGTTCTATCAAATCCGTTGACAAGAAAGCTCCAAAAACCTGTGAAAGGAGTCATCTCAGTTTAATATAAGCAATATTATAATCATGTACATTTTAGCTTAAAGGAAACTTTTCAGTTTGGTGCTTATCGCTGTAAATGATTACCTCTTCATCCATTGTCTTAACGATGAGAACCACTGGCTCATGTCCTTCAACAAGTGAATATAATCTAAAAGAGATGCAAAGGAAAAGAAAGTCATCAGTCATTTTACCTATCTGCCCGACTTTTTTCCACATCAAGCCAATATACACATCATCTTATAATGGCTTTTTAAACATGTGACTGCTGTAATGTTTGTCATTTTGGACTTGCTAATGATGCAATGTTTGAAGTCAAGGCAAACATGTTGATAGTGTAAATACACGACCAGTCAGTGCTATCTATCCCCAACTACCTACACGTGAGTGCAACAAAAGAGGAATTCTCCAGTAGGTGTTGATGCCCAAAAACAGGCTTTTTAGAAAAGGTTTAACTTATTTGTAATATTGTCTTCAAGAAAACTTTTGTTTAGGATCAATGTAGTGAAGGAAGGTTGCTTACGAAGAAAGATCTCTTCCATGTTCTGCCGTATGAAACAATCGAACGGGGCTGAAAAGAGCAAAGCGTTCAGGAATCCAGGCCCAGATGACCCTCATCTCCGTCCCTGTGACGACACTGGAGCTGAAGTTGCTGAAATCCACTTTTTCCACCGTTTGCCTTTAGGACCATCGAGATCAATGAGGTTAGGAGGAACAAAAAATTTTGTTTTCAACCTTTTCTCTACATCAGGGGTCTCCAAACCTTGTCCTTTAGACCTACTGTCCTGCAGGTTTTAGGGGCATCCCTGCTCCAACATGGCTGAATCAAATGAAGGGCTCCTTACCTAGCCTCGTGAGACCATCCTGATCTCGCGAGCTTTCAAGGTTTCACTCGCAGATCAGTCTGGAGACTCTCCGTTAAAGAAAATTTGGAGCC